GTTCACGTTGGGCTCTGATTTGAATGGCCACACCGTGGTGGCTGTGATTGGAGGAGAGGAGGAGCACTTTGAAGATTTCGGCGAGAGCAACAACACCTCAGATCTGCTGCTGGCCAATCAGGAGGAGGGAAGGGTGAGGCCAGACGGGGAGGGAGATGCAGAGCCACTCCCACACTCAGACAGCCCACTGCCCCACCCACTGATGCTGCTCTCTCCAAGGTAACACAACAAGCTTAACATGCTACACATACAAATGCTGGAATATTTAAAGCATTAAAACATTCTCTTGTTGCATACCTGTTGTATATCTTATAAACTCGATGTATAGAAAATAGTAAGTCATCATTTATCTTGAGTTAAAGGTTCTGTGAAATTAAAATAAAGTATTAAATGTTAGTATGTTAGTCTTAAGGACTATTTTATGAACTAGTTTACTACGAAACAGTGACAAAATTCATTTTTAGAAGATAAAACGAAAACGGATTTAAGATTTTTGTGATGTGACCTCATCACATCTTTTGACCAATTAAATGCTCTCCAGTATCTGACATGACCCACCCCCTTCAAAACGCTTCTTATTTATTGCGCTTGAGTTTAACCGCTCTCACTGGCAGAGCTGTGAGAAAAAACAAAACACTATTGGCTTTTTTTTTTTTAAAGGGGAGGAGCTACTCTGTCCCACCCTCTTTTCAAGTTTCAGTTGGGATTATGTCAAACATCGAATAACCTTTGATGTTTGACGTCACCTTTAAAGGGCACCTATGGTGAAAAATCTACTTTTCAAGCTGTTTGGACAGACATGTGTGATAATTTAGTGCAGGGGTCATCAATCTCGGTCCTGGAGGGCCGGTGTCCCTGCAGGATTTAGCTCCAACTTGCCTCAACACACCTGCCTGGATGTTTCAAGTATACCCAGTGAGACCTTGATTAGCTTGTCCAGGTGTGTTTGATTAGGGTTGGAGCTAAAATCTGCAGGACATCGGCCCTCCAGGAACAAGTTTGGTGACCACTGGTTTAGTGTATAGACCGTCATATTGGGGTGATATAAACACACTCAGTCTTTTTTTTTTTCAATTTATCAACATAAAAACGGTAGACCAAAGGAACGGTTTTGAGACCGTCTGCAACTTGACGTAGTAGTGCGGTCCCACCGCCCACCAATATTGATTGACAGGCTCTCATTACCCTCAGTTTGTTGTTTAACGTCTGTCATTTTCAGCGTGTGAGTCAAAGCGATGTCACCAAAGGAACACCCTTGCGCTATTTATAGATGTAAAGCTCATTGGGCTCAACACAAGATCAACATTCACCACATGATCGCTCTTATCTGCACCATTGTTTGTAACTTTAGGTGGGTTTGCAAACATGTGTACTTATCATTGCGTCTTTCTTAAACTTTAGCCGTTTGCATTTCCCGCAGCCACAGAAGCTCCCTGTCATTCTAACTAGGTGCAGCTGGAAAGTGCGAGCACGTTGCCTCACGTGCTTGTCCCTCCATTAGAAATAACAAACTTGCCTTTAGAAGGTTGCACACCATAAGCCCTGCTCGACGACATGCAGCGCCACGCAGTGCCATGCATTTCAGAATTTTAAACATAGGTTTCTATCAGAGTACACACATTAGCGCCTTAAGTTGGTGGCAGCCCGGAGTGCATAGCCACGACTCGGGACACTGTTCATATTTCAGCCGTCCGACAGAGCGCTCTCTGAATAGTTTTGTTTTAAATAACATGCGAATGTGCGTGTCTGGTGTGCCGTGTAACAGTTCTGAGCTGTACATCCAGTGTGTGACGCACTTTAGTGATAGCCTTAGTCAAAGTTAATTCAGTGTGCATGATTATTAGTCTTGGTGTACAAGCTCAGAACTTAAAACTAGCACACAGTTGGCTGTAAAACTATCCGAAGACACAAATGATTTTGTACTCTGTGCTTGGTCTGTGTCCGAGTCGTACATGCACGACTGAATGCTGATCCTCTCACTCATGCTGCTTCTCTCTGTCTGCCTGTCTGTTGCCATACACAAAGCGGGGAAGCTCTTGGCTCTGCCCCCTTGTTAAGTTTGGCGGGAAGTTGAAACTAATTTTCATGTGAAGCAACACGCCTCTAAAACAGCAAGCTGTGTACACGACCCCAACATGACACTTTTAACACATTATAATAAACAAATCTGAACTGTGTTTTGAACTGAACCTAAACTGGCACACTCAGAAGAACCATAATATTAATATTAAATAAAACAAAGAGGTAAAATAGGTGCCCTTTAAATATGGAAAGTATAAACCTAAGTGCTGTAAATGTATGCGTAGGCTGATCTGAAGGGACAGCTCGACTATACTCGCAAATAGAAATACACTCTATTTCTAGTTTCCATACAGAGAAAGTGAGTCGGTATTGTGTTTGCCAAAGTTCATGTGCATAATGAGACCTTGCAGAGCGACATCCTGACTACAGACCATGTCTCATTTTCAAACAGCATGCGTGATAGACACAACATAAGCCTTTCTATGAGAGTTTGTGTGTGTGTTGAGATCTCTGTTGGATGTGTCAGTGGTAAAGGCGGAAGCAGAGTGATGATATGCTGGGTGATTCATTATTTCTCTGGTGAACTATTAATATCCATGGGTAAAGGTTGAGGTTTGTGGTTATTGTTTTACTGGAGTGCTGGTGTTGTGAGGCATACTGTATGTCCTTCTGTACACACACTAGAGAAGAGAGCATGGAAGCACAATAAACACTCTCAGACCTGTTTAAGTAATAACACACACACTGCTCCTGCTGAGTTGGGGGCCATTCACACGGATTGTGTTTTTACGTATAAAAATGCAAGATGTAGCACTCTTGAATGTTTTTTTTTTTTTTTTTTTTTTTTTTTAAGTGCCACCACCACCGTGTTAACAAATAAAACAGTTGTCATGCCAATAGGGTATATGCCGAGCTAGTGCTGTTCCCATGCTGATACACTTCCGGTGACCTTTTATTGTGAACTTTTTCCCATTTTAATAGGTTCCTTATACAGCATCGATGTTGTAATGTCATTAAAATACATTCAGTTAAATGAACTGTAGCATTTATTTAGTTCCTCAAGCGTAAAACGAGACAAAAAGCCGTTTACTCGCACGCGCCCGTCAGAATCGGCAGGCTAACGCAGAAGCTCCATTGAATACACTGTGGTAAAATAAATGCTCATATTATAAAGATATGGCGGGGGAAAATGTAATTTAATGCAGTGCTTCTTGTACAATCTGAGACCCATTTTAAATCGGATATCACTCATCTAGTGGAGATCCCGGATTTTTAAAGAAAACAGACCTTAAACGCACCGGGTTTTGCCGGAAGCGCTTAACCCAGGTTACTGGCAAATTAAAAGTCCTATTAGCATGCTTCGGCATATACCCCATTTGCTACTGTAAACAGAAGCTTTCTACACTTTCCCCACCTCCAAGTTCCTCTGATTGGTCCACTGAGTTGGATATGTTTTAGTCTACATATTTTATGTGCATTTTGGACCATCACATAAATATAAATGCGTAATGTAAATCCCCCCCAAAATGTTAAATACGCATAAAAACTAGTGCACACAACTAAGTTGGATACATTTTTTATCTGCTAAAAAATGTGTTGGGCGACACAGTGGCTCAGTGGTTAGCACTGTTGCTTCACAGCAAGAAGGTCACTGGTTCAAGTCCCAGCTGGGTCAGTTTGCATGTTCTCCCCGCAAACTCTGAGAACTGCATTACTGCTTAAACTGACCCAAAATGTTTTGCGTTTTCTTGTAATGGATTGATTAATACTCATTAGACTCATTGTGCAAGGTTTGTTTACGTGAATTTTTTTTTGCATATGAATATAAAAAAACTCATATGAACATTTCGGACTTCAGACCTTTACGCACCATCATAACTCATGAGTAGGCCTACACGAAATCTGCGCGCACAGAAATCCACAGATTTTTAGCCCATCATTGATTGTTTATTTACTTGTGTAAATGTGTGTAAATTTATATTTATTCAGTTTTTAAATTATTTTCAGTAATATTATTGAGTAATATGAAAATATTTGTATGATTTATTTACAATAAAGTTTGTAAAGTAATATTTTCTGTCCTTTAGTAGATATATTATATGAGAGACTTGCTTTGTTTACTAAATAGAGTGGATCCAATTGAATTTGCATTTTAAACATTAAATAAACGTTAAAAATGTATTACATTTTAGTTCATATATTAAGTTATTTAGTTACGACACTCCCAAAATCTTTCCGCATAAATCCACAGATTTTTAACCAAAGTTCTAAATTAAAACAACTTTTCACCTCAATGAGGAATCTCTTCGCGATTTAGTCACGAGAGCTCTCGTAGCGCAAGATCTTGTCACATCCCTAATTATTATTATTTTATTATTATTATTATTATTATTATTATTATTATTAGCTATGTCTTCAGCGTCTTTGCTCCCAAAGGGCATATCATGCTGTTTGTTCATTGTGTTTCGTCTTCGTCTTCTGAAGTAATTTATTATATAGGAAAAAAGTGGTCACAGTGGCTTTTTCCATTTTTAAATTTGGCACAAGCTTATCGAGAAGTGACGATTAGGAAGCAAACAGTGCTTTACTTTCCAAAAGCATAATCCAGTTTAGTAGTGCCTAAGTTCCATCTATGGATGGAAACATACTAGCTATTGATGAGGCACACTGAAATATTTTATTTTAGTTTATTTGTTTACAGGGTCAATGCACATTAATAAACATTACTGTAAAATGTGCCAGAATTAGCCAAGAATGGCTATTTTTCATCCGTAGACCCCTTACAGAATGTTAAAAAGTCACACCTAAAATAGAAGCACAACATTAAACATTAAATACACTTTCATTTAAAAAATACAGTTAAAAAAGTAAAGAAAAGAAAAAAAGAAAAGAAAGGGAAAAAAAAGAAAAAAATGATGGCAGCAGAGGACAAAAAGCCAAAGACAACAGTACAAATGTGTCAAGAATACAGTACTAATGCTGACAATGCTGATTTGTCAATAACCAATTTTTAACATGAGACTGAAAAGAACGAAAAGTGCACGATCTTCTAATTGTTGGTGGGATGGAGTTCCATTCCCTAGCAGCTCTCACTGAAAATACAGATTGACTGAATTTACTTTTTTTGAGAGGAATAATGCAGTCCCCTCTGTCACCCCCTCTAGTAGTTCGGTGAGCAGACGTTCTAATATTTACAAACTGATTTAATGGTGAAGTCGGGTTATGTAAAGTCTTAAACATTAAACAGATATGTACATATATAATTAAGTTTTCCCAACTAAGCAGGTTGTATTTCTTTAATATTAAACAATGGTGATATTGAACTGATTTCTCATCAAGAGTTTTTATGGATTGTTTGTATAAAGATTCAAGTGGCTTCAGAGTAGTGATGCTGGCTTGGGACCAAGTGGTTGAACAATAAGTGATGTGAGAAATGATCATGGAGAGATAATAGATTAGGGCAGCCTCACATGACATCTGATCACGAATAAATCTAAAATTTGCTGAACTGAATCTGACCCGGTAACAAAACCTTTTTAACCTGAGACTGAAATGATAGTTTTGAATCTATTAAAACTCCAAGGTACTTGTACTCAGATACAACTTGTAGTCTTTCCCCTGATACAAATACATCTGGTACTACACTTAGCCTACCGTTCTTAGAAGAAAAGTTAAAAGTTGAAATTCTTTAAGGCCCCGTTTACACTAGTGCGTTTTAGTTTTAAAACGGCGTTGTAGAATGAAAACGATCCGCGTCCACACTCGCGTTTTACCCAGCGTTTCTGAACAGCTCTCCGTCCACACCAAAACGCTGAAAACGCACATCACGTGACCACACACACACTCTCGAGCAAGCGCTCCAGCATTTCTACCCAGATGAGAGCTCTGCTTGTCGGACTGCTCATCAAGCATCTCCCGCTGGATCTAATCTCACTATATTTGCTAAACGTGATATTTCATTCATGTTGTTGTCTTTATCTATTGACATAGGCCAATTCCCTGACTTTGGTCATTGGAATCTATTAAGTTACTTGTTCACGGGTAACTTGTTTTGCTTAAGCGCAAAGATAAGTTAATGATTAATCCAGGTACATTGACTGATCGCTTGCCTTTATTTCCCACAATGTATAAACTTATTGTATGTTATACTTTTATAATTATCGATTATTAAAACTGATATTTAGCAAAAGAGAGGGTGTGTTTCGTATTTTCACTGAAATTGAAAGGAGGCAGTTGTTATCGGCTCCGTTTTGTTATAAATATCCACACAGTGAAGATGACGCTCATATATGCAGCACGACGCCTCAACATTTCTGCTGTCTGTTAAGTTGCTAATATTAAAATGAAAATAGGCAGTTCCTTAAATCATGTTTACATTTCATTGTTGAGAAAGTGAAACAACGTAGCCAAGGTGATGTGAATGAAGTTATAAAGCACACTGTTCCCTTTGAAGATTTACCCGTGTCCTCTGTATGTTTTCCATATCAAACTGAGAAGGGGGAGACTGCAGCCTTGATCAAACTTGCGAAGTCTTAACTTACAAGAAGAGGATGCGAGACTGAACTGTGTGTGGGCTACTTAATATTGAGGAAAAGCCCCAATCAGATTTTCAATCAGGCGAACGTTTGACGAGGCGCCCCGCCTCCGTTTTCAGATGTCTCCGTCTTTCCCCATCCACACTGAGACGGAGCAGCAGCGTTTCAGAATGAAAACGGCCTCTCCAGCGTTTTCAAAAAGCTCCGTTTTCGGCGCTCGAGAACTCCGGCGTAGTGTGGACGGATGGCGTAACCGTAGCAAAACTTATGCGTTTTCAAACTAAAACGCACTAGTGTGAACGGGGCCTAAGTTGACGCGGCATCTTCACAACGCAGCACTCATCACACATGCCGTCAAGCTCATTTACCTAGAAAACAATGGAAAAATTGTGCATTGGAATTGAAAGTGTGAATGAGCGCTTGTGCCTCCTGCACTGTAGTGTTCACTCTGTAGATCCTCCTCTGCCCTTCACCTGCTCAAATCAATGTTCCCTGTTCTCTCCCTCTGCTCATCCCCGATTTAACACACACTCACACCTCCTCATTTCTCTGTTGATTTCCCTTCTCTCCTGCTTCGTTTCTCCTCAACTTAATGCTCACTCTAAACTTTCCCCTGCTTTCACTTCATTACTCCTCTCTGCTCATTTCTTTTCATTTATTCTGCTGTACATTCTTCATCTCTTTATTTCCTGTCATCATATTCTTCTCCTCCTTCATTTCTTCTCGCATTTCCTTGTTTCTCCATCACTTGTGCTTTCCTCCTCATTCCTCTTTTGTTCTCCTCCTGTGGTCTCCTCAGCCCCAGCTCTTTTCCCGCTAGCTTCCAGAATTTCCTTCAGTCGGAGGCGCTGGAGTTTTTCTGCACTCACTGTCATAAGCAGATAAGTCGTCTGGAGGATCTGTCCACGCGACTGCAGCTGCTAGAGATGAATAGGTAACGCGCTCGCAGCATGTGCACGCCTCCCTGTGTGTGTGTGAAGTTTGAGCACTGTCACAAACACACACTCATTGTCTGATTGTTAGTGTGTGTGCGCTTTAGTATCACGCAGATTTCTGTGCAGTGTCACATGACTCATGTTGGTTTCAGTTTCAGGGTGTGTTTTCTGTAGGTGAAGTGTCTGTGGTGATTATAGATGCTCTGCTGTAGACGCTGTGCTGTGCTGTGTTGTGTTCTGTGTGTGTTTGATGCATGCACAAGTGTTTTTGATTTATATATTGTTAAAGTCAAAATGATTAACCCTCCTATGAATTAATTTTATTCCTTTTTCAAACATTTTCCAAGTATTTCCTATAATATTTCTTTTTTTTCTGAGAAAAGTCTCATTTCTTTAAGTTTGGCTGTAATAAAAGCTGTTTTTTAAAAACAATTTTAAGGTCAATATTATTAGCTCCCTTAAGAAATATATATTTTTTATATTATCTGCAGAACAAACCCCATAAGATATCATAAGAAAGCTTCTTAAAGAGACTACAAGACTAGACTAGTTTCTATATAATCAGTGTTTACTATGCTTTCATTGTATAGACCAGGGTTTTCCCAACCCTGTTCCTTAAGGCACACCAACAGCACACATTTTTAACCTCTTCCTGATCAAACACACCTAAATCAGGTCATCTGTACATTAGAAGAGACTCTGAAGCCTGAAGTTAATGGGTCAGAAAGGGGAGACATCAAAAATATGTACTGTTGTTGTGCCTCTAGGAATAGGGTTGGGAAACACTGGTGTAGACAAAACTAGCAATATACACTCATCGGACACTTTATTAGGTACACCTTTCCAACAGCTTCTTAACGCAAATTACTAATCAGCCAATCACGTGGCAGCAACTCAATGCATTTAGGCATGTAGACATGGTCAAGATGATCTGCTGCAGTTCAAACCGAGCATCAGAATGAGGCAGAAAGAGGATTTAAGTGACTTTGAACGTGGCATGGTTGTTGGTGCAAGATGGGCTGGTCTGAGTATTTCAGAAACTGCTGATCTACTGGGATTTTCACGCACAACCATCTCTAGGGTTTACAGAGAATGGCCTGAAAAAGAGAAAATATTCAGTGAGCGGCAGTTCTGTGGGCGCAAATGCCTTGTTGATGTCAAAGGAGAATGGCCAGACTGGTTCCAGCTGATAGAAAGGCAACAGCAGCTCAAATAAACACTAGAGTAAAGCAAACCGATAGAATAAACCGAGTAGAGCATCTCTGAACGCACAACACGTCCAACCTTAAGGCGGATGGGCTACAGCAGCACTGGGTGCAACTCCTGTCAGCTAAGAACAGGAAACTGAGGCTACAATTCACACAGCCTCACCAAAACTGGACAAAAGAAGATTGGAGAAAAGTTGCCTGCTCTGATGAGCCTTGATTTCTGCTGACATTCGGATGGTCGGGTAAGAATTTGGCGTCAACAACATGAAAGCATGGATCGATCCTGCCTTGTATCAACGCTCCAGGCTGGTGGTGGTCGTGTAATTGTGTGGGGGATATTTTCTTGGCACACTTTGGGTCCATTAGTACCAATTGAGCATCATGTCAACGCCACAGCCAACCTGAGTATTGTTGCTGACCATGTCCATCTCTTTATGACCACAGTGTGTCCATCTTCTGATGGCTACTTCCAGCAGGATGACGCTCCATATCATAAAAGTGTGAATCATCTCAGACTGGTTTCTTGATCATGACCATGAGTTCACTGTACTCAAATTGCCTCCACAGTCACCAGAGCTCAATCCAATAGAGCACCTTTGGGATGTGGTGGAACGGGAGATTCACATCATGGATGTGCAGCCAACAAATCTGAATCTAAGATTTGAATCTATGCCACAAAGGATTTAGGCAGCTCTTAAGGCAAAAGGGGCTCCAACCTGGTACTAGTAAGGTGTACCTAATAAAGTGGCTGCTGAGTGTGTGTGTGTGTGTGTGTGTGTGTGTGTGTTTTTATATCATACTGGTTTATAATGTATTGGGTAAGCTACCTTTTAAGAAGTATCTAAAAAAAGTTAATAGAATAGGTTTTGTATTGTTCTAATTTCTAAAACCAAATTCAATAAGACTATATTGACGACTAAGGTAATGTTTGTGTTTTGGTTAAGAGTTCATGGAAACTCCTGTACTTTAAGCAGCAGTGGGAACTCTGATGTCTGTGAAAACAACAGACAAAGCATTTTCTCCACCTTCAGTCTTTCAGGAACAGAATCTCCTTTCACGCATATACGTTACACCTCTGTAAGAGCATGTGTGTGTGTGTTTGTTTCCGTGTGCTGTGAGGTCATTAGCATTGAAAGAATAGCATTGATGCTGCCTTCGACCTGCTGAAAGAGCTGACGGATCCTCAAACCTGGCTGTTTTTTGACCTGTGCTTTACAGGTCACGGATGGAAAGAGTTTTTTCTTCTTTTTCAGTCTCTTCCTGTGACTCATTTCCTGTTTGTTCTCTCTTTTATAGCTCCAGCAAGAGGCTGTCCAGTAAGAAAGCTGCAAGGTGAGATCCTCCCTCCAAACACAGCAGACGTCAGCCTTAAATTGTTCTCCCAAAAAAATGATATCATGTAGAACATTAAAGAACATGAAACTGGGGTCATGGTGATTCATATGAAGTCATCCATCTGATAGTCAGAAAAAAATACATTATTATTCATTCATTCATTTTCTTGTCGGCTTAGTTCCTTTATTAATCCGAGGTCGCCACAGCGAAATGAACCACCAACTTTTCCAGCAAGTTTTTTACACAGCGGATGCCCTTCCAGCCGCAACCCATCTCTGGGAAACATCCACACACAAACACACACACACACACACACACACACACACACACACACACACACACACACACACACACACACACACACTACGGACAATTTAGCCCACCCAATTCACCTGTACCGCATGTCTTTGGACTGTGGGGGAAACCGGAGCACCCAGAGGAAACCCACACAAATGCAGGGAGAACATGCAAACTCCACACAGAAATGCCAACTGGCCCAGCTGAGGCTTGAACCAGCGACCTTCTTGCTGTGAGGCGCAAGCGCTACCCACCGTGCTGCCTCTGATGTTAGAATAGTCACCCTGGTAACATAACATGATTAATCAATACATAATATATACAATGGGCGCAGTAGGTAGTGCTGTCACCTTACAGCAAGAAGGTCGCTGGTTCGAGCCTCGGCTCAGTTGGCGTTTCTGTATGAAGTTTGCAAGTTCTCCCCGAAGACATGTGGTACAGGTGAATTGGGCAGGCTAAATTGTCCGTAGTGTATGAGTGTATGTGAATGTGTGTGTGGATGTTTCCCATAGATGGGTTGCGGCTGGAAGGACATCCTCTGCGTAAAAACGTCCTAGATATGTTGTAAACTAATTAAATTGGCTGTAGTGTATGATTCTGAGTATGAATGCAAGTGTGTATGGGTGTTTCCCAGTACTGGATTGTGGCTGTAATAGCATTCGCTGCCTAAAACATATGCCGAAATAGTTGACGGTTCATTCCGCTGTGACGACCCCTGAAAAATAAGCGACTAAGCCGAAAAAAAAAAAGAATGAATCTGGAGTGCAAGCTGTCAGAACTGTTTGCTGTAATGTAGGTAACAGTAATGTAGGTAAAAATGTTGCTTGTGCAAAAGCTGGAAAAACGAGACTGGACTAGCATGAATATTCAATTACACGTCAGCAGGGAATGTTTTGATACGTTTGAGTTTGCTTAAACAATGTTTGTGTGTGTGTTTTAGACACTTACAGCAGTCCAACAACCTGGATGTCATGGGAGATCTGACTCAAGACATTTTGGACCTGGCCGATCGTGACATCACAGACAAGGTTTGTGAATAACAGTGTTTTATCACCTGATTAGCTGAAAAACAAAACATTCTGAAAGTGATTCCACTGATAACGTTTCTCTACATTTTTATTCTTTATAAATGTGATCCGATCTCTGCTGTTGATTTACATGCAGAACTATTTTTACATAAAAAAATGCACTTAATAGCATTTACAATAGCATTCTCTAATTCAGGGGTTCCCAAACTTTTCAGCCCGCGACCCCCAAAATAACAATGCCAGTGACTCTCGACCCCCAATATCCTCTGAGGTGGTTATAAATACAGAAACCTTGCATGCAATGACGCAGACGCACCAATTAAATTTGTGTCAGTGCTTTAAATGTGCCAGAAAGTATAACCTGATGTTATAAAATCAAAATGCATCTGACGCTATTGCTGCCTTTAATATAATGTAATTACCCCAGGGGTCGCAATCCAATAGAACTAGTAACTATAAGCTACTATAGTAACTATATAGTATATAGTAACTATAAACGACTATTTTTATTTTCAGTATAGTTATGGATAAAATATGTTAATTCTTATGGTTTAATAAAAATAAATAGATTTTTGGAAATCACCAGGCGACCCCCCTTCATTGCCCTGCGACCCCTCGGGGGGTCCCGACCCCCACTTTGTGAACCACTGCTCTAATTCATCAAAAAGTGGTAAATACATTTTTTACCTGCTGTTTCTGTTATTTTTATCTATATTTATTATAATTTAACTTTCTGTTGGGTGGATCTCAGACTTTTATTTTATATACAAGGTTAATAGCTGGCAGAAAGTTCTCACATGGTCGCTCACTGAAGCTAAGCAGGCCTGCGCCCGGTCAACAACCGGATGGGAGACCACATAGAAAAGCTAGGTTGCTGCCGGAAGTTAGCGAGACCAACAGGGGGCGCTCAATCTGCGGTCTGTGGGGGTCCTAACACCCCAGTATAGTGAAGGGGACTCTATACTGCTCAGTGAGCACCGTCTTTCGGATTAGACGTTAAACCTGACTGTCTTTGGTCCCTAGGATGTCTTTCGAAAAAGAGTAGGGGTTTAACCCTGGCATTCTGGCCAAATTTGCCCACTGGCCTCTGTACATCATAGCCTCCCAACCACCCCAAAATCATAATTAGGGTCATCACTCTGTCTACTCACCACCAATCAGCTGGTGTGTGTGTGTGTAGTGCGGTCTGGCACAAAATGGCTGCCATCACGTAATCCAGGTTGATGGATGAGGAGATCCCTTCTATGTGTAAAGTGCTTTGAGTGTCCAGAAAATCGCTATATAAATGTAAAGAATTATTATATAGTTTAACACCTAAAAAGTGGTAAATGGAGTAACTCTGTGGTAAAAACATGCAGCATTCAGTATTTTTAAAACATTGTCTTTATTGCCATTAGGGGTGTCACGATTTCGATTTTTAATCGAAATCGATCAAAATTTATGCTCAATTTCGATTATCGAATAAAAAAATAGAATCGTCGATGCTGCCACGCCCCCATGTCATGTCAGCTTGGCTTGCCAAGCGGGAAAAAAACAGGCTTGTTGAAGTGCTTGTTAAACTGCAGAAGCAGGAGACCCGTCGAGAGAACTTAAACAACTTGTTGGTTGTGCGTCTTTTTTACCGACGCCATTATAACGACACAGATCACTGCCTATTCACGAGTCCCGCAGAAAAAGTGATTGACAGGTGGTAATTATGTGTGTATCTTGCCTTTATTCATTTACTGTATGATTTGTTTATGGGTAAAACAAAGACCATGCATTATCGAAAATCGAATCGAATCGTGCCTTTAGAATCGAAAATGTAATCGAATCGAGGATTTGGAGGATCGTGACACCCTTAATTGCCATATCTATAGTTATCATGGTAACTCTTTGGTTTTGGTCACAATTCACAGTAATTACAAACCACTAACGGACACTACTAGCTTAATAAGCTTAATTAATAGTTTTGGTTTTGGGTAGAAGTTGGGTTTAGGTTTTGGGTAGGGATAAGGATGCAGAATAAGATACTACTGAACAGTTCATATCTCAATAATAGGCAGGTTATAAGTAGGGCAAGGTAGCCTCTGCTGACATTTTTTGCTATTTTTGAAGGATTTTGAGAGTATTTCAACTAAAAACTTAAGACATAAAATAAAAAATAATACCTTTTTAACTTTTATATATATATATATATATATATATATATATATATGTATATATGTATACCCACACATAGTTGAAGTCAGAATTATTAGCCCCTATTTTATTTTTTTAATTTTTTTTAATATTTCCCAACTGATGTTTACCAGAGCAAGGACATTTTCACAGTATGTATGATAATATTTTTTCTTCTGGAGAAAGTCTTATTTATTTTATTTCGGCTAGAATAAAAGCAATTTTTTATTTTTTTTAAATCATTTTAAGGTCAACATTATTAGCCTCTTTAAGCTATATTTATTTTCGATAGTCTACAGAACAAACCATCGTTATATAATAACTTGCCTAATTACCCTAACCTGCCTAGTTAACCTAATTAACCTAGTTAAGCCTTTAAATGTCACTTTAAGTTGTATAGAAAATATTATTTACTGTCGTCATGACAAAGATAAAATAAATCTGTTATTAGAAATGAGTTATTAAAACTATTATGTTTAGAAATGTGTTGAAAAAAATAAACTCTGTTAAACAGAAATTGGGGAAAAAAATAAACGGGGCTAATAATTCAGGGGGGGCTAATAATTCTGACTTCAACAGTGTATATATATATATATATATATATATTTACACACATTTACACAAGTAAATAAATGGACTTAATGATAGGCTACAATCTGTGGATTTCTGCATGCGGAGATTTAGTGTGGGTCTAGCTTATAGTTAATACCATGAATTGTGACCTAAAGTGTCAGTGAAAATTTTTACTTGTAGCTTCATTAATGTGGCTTTAGTTTACTGTGTATTCAAATGGAAAACCAAAAATAGTAACATTACCATGAAGCAATATGCAAAGTGAAATGGAAAAACAGGTAGTTGTGATTTGCATGCTGAACATTGGCCTGCGTTTCAGGTGTTGCTGCTGGAGAAGCGCGTATGTGAGCTGGAGAAGGACTCGCTGGAGAGTGAAGAGCAACATGCACGCTTGCGCCAGGAAAACCTCACTCTCGTGCATCGCGCAAACGCTCTGGAGGAGCAGCTGAAGGAGCAGGAGCTGCGCACCGAGGAGGACTTACTCGCTCAAACCCGAAAACACAGAGATGCACTTAACAAACTCCAGCGGGAGAGAGATCTGGAGATCGAGAACCTCCAGGCCAGGTGAGTGCGGAGGGAGAACATCATATATACAGTGGGAGAAATAAGTATTGAACACGTCATGTTTTTTTCCTGGGAATTATATTTCTAAAGGAGCTGTTGACATGGAATTGAACCAGATTTTGGTAAAAAACCAAACAGTACAAACATAAAAATAACAAAACAAAATCTGTAAAATTAATTCTGTGGAAAAACAATGAGATGACACAGAGAATGTGCTGAACTAGTAAAACGTCTTTAATACTTTATATAAAAGACTTTTTTTGGTGCTGGCAGCTTAAATACACCTCTCATATGGAGAATGAAGTCACATGCATTGCTCACGTGTGAGTTTAGACTTCACAGGGTCTTAAAAAGTCTTAAAATAACTTAAATCTCAAAATCCAAGTTTTAGGCCTTAAAAAGCCTGAAATACTGTGTTGTAGGCCTTAATTTTTTTTAAACAGGTCTTAATTTTTTTTGTTCATGTATTGAAACCAAATCTGGCCAAAATCCATACAATCATCCACAATCCATCTCAATAAACTTTTCAAATTCTTTTTTAAAAAGGTCATTTTCAACTCTATTTATCTTAATACTTTAATTATTTTCCTCACAATAACAATTGTTTAAAGGTTCTCCATGTATTTACTGCTGGGCACACTGACCTTTACAGATTGTTGTGCATAAATTTAGTTTATTATAGTTTTAAAACTTTCAAAACATTCGTTCCTTTTTTTATTTTATTTTAAAGAAAGTGTATGTTGTAAAAAAGAAAGTGTATTGATACAACTAGAGCTTGCTTGTTTTTACACAATATTTAAAATATTGGGCTAAAAAATAAAATGTAAAAAAATTATATATATATATATATATATATATATATATATATATATATATATATATATATATATATATATATATATATATATTAATATTAATGTATTATTGTATTATTAAATAAATTAAATTATAATTTTTTTGGATAGGGAAAATAATTTTCCATCTCGGCCATTTGAAAAATTCCCTAGCCTTTAACCCTTTATAGGTCTAAAATTCCATTCATAATGGGCCTAAAAATGTCTTAAAGTCTTAAATTTAACATGGTGAAAGCTGAAGAAACCCTGCTTCAACAGAGTGTAAACATCTTGATGATTTTGTGGGTCTCGTCTTGGCATTGGTCGGCATAAGATTCTGATGGTATGATTACCTTATATATCACAAATATGAGCGACTGAGCCACAGCGCCGCCTATTTTTGCACATTGATTGCTATATATATATATATATATATTTTTTTTTTAATATAGTTTATAATATAGTTATAGTTTTCTTCTGGAGATAATTTTCCCCTAATAAACCAGATTAAATAGTCTTAAGACGCATAAAAAACAAACACATTTTTTTACATAATCATAGGAACGGTATAACAAAAAATCTTTGCGGTTTTAAAATCTAGACTTTTCCAAACCACGGTAAACCTTGAAACCGGTTATCGTCCCATGCCTAGTCTTGTCTATCAAATCTGAGCTTTATTTTGTATTTTCTATTGGATTCGGTTCAGGTGATCGGCTGGGCCATTCCACAGCTTGATTTTCTTTTTCTGAAAGCATTTGAAAGTTTCCTTGGCTGCGTTTTGGATCATTGTCTTGCTAAAATGTCCACCCTGGCTTCATCATCATCATCATCCTGCTAATGTAGATGTTGGACTGAAGCATCTGATATTCATTTACACTGATGAAGGGCAGAGAGTTGCTGAAGAACTACTGAGAGATTTCAGATGCTGTCTGGGCATTCACTGCCTGTCTACAGCTCCCTTTCTTCATGTGTTCAATACTTTTTCCCTGTGCCATTTCATTTTATTACACTTAATTTCTTTTGTTAACTAATTAGATTCGTTTTCTTTGCATATTTGGATTTTTTTTTTGGTTGTTACCAACATCTGTTGAAAATTTCAAGTCAACTGCTTCTTTAGATATGTTTTCTGAAGTAAATGGTGATGTGTTCAATACTTTTTTCCCTGCTGTATTGTCATATCATGGTAGAAGCAGCGCTGTTTAATCAGACCAAATACATTGTAGACTACAATAATAATGCGCCTCCGTTCAGTCTAATAAAACACACAACATGTTAAAGCCTCCCTGCTGTTTCCCTGAATTCTATATAACCAATCCGGAAATGGAGAAATGAATGTTAAATCAGTACAGTTTGCAACAGCAATATTTAATAAAAACAACTCGAAATGTTTTGATTGCAAACATATTTCTATGATGAATGAAGCAGAGACGTGTCTGTTGGAGTGCTGTGTCTGAGTCACGAGTCTCGCTCTGCATAATGTTAAACACAGTTGGCGAGGTGTGATTTTTAGGAAACAGCCCTCCAGAGGCAGTCATTAAGCTCAGGTAACGTCTCTTCAGGGTCTTATTATAGCCCGGAAATATGAAGCCATTACGAAGACGCAGGTGCATCATATGCAGCAAACACTGTGTCTCGGTCACATATTCAGCATGATTATAGTGTCCTTCAAACATTGTTGTGTTCCTTTAGCATACAATGTTACATGAGCAGAAAAAGGATTAAAAATGAAGTCAATCCATCATAATGTGCCATCTATACACGCCATTTTACTAGCCAGGATTTCTATATTTGGCCTTGTTTGAATGACTAGAAGACCAAATACGGGAAAATACCTTTAAAGGATTATAGCGGAATACAACTTTAAAACATGGGAAATCCCAGAAAAAAACGGAAGGGTTAACAGGTATGGACTGCTCAGTGCGAACAGATATTTTTGTGCAAAATGGATGTATTATGAGTTTGCATGTTCTCCCTGTGTTGGCGTGAGTTTCCTCCAGGTGCTCAGATTTCCCCCACAGTCCAAAGACATGCACTATAGGTGAAGTGTATAAACTTTGCAGCTGGAAGGGCATCCGCTGCGTAAAACAGATGCTGGATAAATTGGCGGTACATTCCACTGTTGTGACCCCTGTTGCAGGATATATATATATATATATATGCCTCACAGCATAAAGGTTGCTGGTTCGCTATAGGTGAATTGGATAAACTAAATTGTCCGTAGTGTATAAGTGTGTTTGTGAGAGACTGTGAGTGTGTATGGGTGTTTTCCAGTTCTGGGTTGCGGCTGGAAGGGCATCCGCTGCCTAAACATATGCTGGAATAGTTGGTGGTTCATTCCTCTGTGGTGACCTCTAAAATAGAGGCTAAACCAGAGGAAAATGAATATATGAATGAATCAATCAACAGATTGAAGAGAGCTTTAACATTGTGGGGTTGTGTCCAGCTCTACTGTGTGTGTTTATAATGTGCTGCCATCTAGTGGAGACCTGCAGAAATATTATTATACTTTTCAAAGCTTGTCTGAGATGACTTGGCTGAGGGTTTAATGTAATGCGGCTGTGTTAACAGAGACTATTGCTTTCTCTCCGCCAATGTTGTGTTCAACTGTTTTCTTTAGTGAACTCTGCCCAAAAAGAAAACATCATTGTGTGTTTGCGTGTGTGTGTGTGTGCCCGCATGTTCTCAGGTTGCATCAGTTGGATGAGGAGAACAGCGAGCTGAGGTCATGTGTTCCCTGTCTGAGGGCCAACATCGAGAGACTGGAAGAGGTACGCAACACACACACACACACACACACACACACACACACACACACACACACACACACACACACACACACACACACACACACAAAATACACATACACACAAAATACACACACTTAACAAACATACACACATGAAATTAACTTACACACAAAATACACACACGCAACACAAGATACATACATGCGAAATACACATACATACAAAATACACACACACACACACACACACACACAAAATACACATACACACAAAATACACACACGCAACAAACACATACACACACGAAATACACATACACTCAAAATACACACTCACACACGAAACGCTACACACACACATATACACACAAAATACACATACACAAAATATACACACGCAACACAACATACACATACACACAAAATACACACACACACACGTGACATGAAATACACATAAACACAAAATACACACACATACGCAACACACACACACAAGATACACATACACACAAAATACACACGCAACACACATACATGCAAAACAGATACACTCACAATATGCACACATTCACACATGTGTATGCGTGTGCACATGTGTGAGTGTGTGCGTATTGCTTGTGTATCTGTATTGTGTGTATATGTACTGGAAAACACCCATACACGCACACACAAACACACACACTCACTTACACACACACTGTATACACACACACACACACATACACAATAATCCCTTACACACACAAAACATTCACACTTACACACACACAATACACTCACTCTGAGACATATTTACTCACACACACACAAAATGCTCACTCACATAAACACACACACAATACTCATAAACTCACTCACACAAACAATACTCACTCATACACACACACACAATACTCACTCACATATGCAATACACACACAGAATACTCCCTCACACACAATACACACTCTCACACTCTCTCAGAGACACACCACAATTTTGTTTTTGTGAATTGTGGGGACATTCCATAGGTTTCCATTGTTTTTGTACTGCTCAAGCTTTATTTTCTATGGCCCGATAGCTCAACCCTACACCTTACACAACCCTTACAGGAAACTGCATTTTTATTTATTTTAAAGAGATTTCTCTTTTTTACAGTTTTGAATATTTTCTTTGTTTCAGGAAAAGAGGAAGCTTCAGGACGAGGCAGACGACATCACACAGCGCCTAAATGAAGAAAGCGAATCACGCAGGAAAATGTCCGACAAGCTGAGCCATGAACGACACACCAACCAGAAGGAGAAAGAGTGCACTCAGGGGGTGAGAGAGAGGCCTTGTGTTTGTCTTTATAGGTGGAGTAGTGTGTGTGTGCTCCTCTGTCTGTCTATCTATCTATCTATCTATCTATCTATCTATCTATCTATCTATCTATCTATCTATCTATCTATCTATCTATCTATCTATCTATCTATCTATCTATCTATCTATCTATCTATCTATCTATCTATCTATCTATCTATCTATCTATCTATCTATCTATCTATCTATCTATCTATCTATCTATCTATCTATCTATCTATCTATCTATCTATCTATCTATCCAGCGCTTCACTTGTTTTTATGTTACAGCCTTATTCCAAAATGGATTAAATTCATTTATTTCCTCAACATTCTCCACACAATCCCCCATAATGACAATGTGAAAAAAGAGTTTTTGAAATTGTTGCAAATGTATTTAAAAAAAACCTGAGAAATCGCATGTACATCAGTCTTCACAGCCTTTGCTCAATGCTTTGCTGATGCACCTTTGACAGCAATTAGAGCCTCAAGTCTTTTTCAATATGATGCCACATGCTTGACACACCTACCTTTAGGAATTTTTGCCCATTCCTCTTTGCAGTACCTCTCAAGCTCTATCAGGTTGGATGGAAAGTGAGGGTGTTTCAGATATGTCCAGAGATGTTCAATAGGATTTAGGTCTGGGCTCTGGCTGGGCCACTCAAGGACATTCACCGAGTTGTTGTGAAGCCACTCCATTGATATTTTGGCAGTGTGCTTTTGGAAGATGAACAGTCAGCCCAGTCTGAGGTCAAGAGCACTCTGATGCAGGTTTTTATTCAGGATGTCTTTATACGTTCATTCATCTTTCCCTCTATCCTGACTAGTCTTCCAGTTCCTGCTGCTGAAAAACATCCCCACAGCATGATGCTGCCACCACCATGCTTCACTGTAGAGATGGTATAAGCCTGGTGATGAGCGCTGCCTGGTTTTTTCAACACGTAACGCCTGCCATTCACTCCAAAGAGTTCAATTTTAGTCTCATCAGACCAAAGACTTTAGTTTCTTATGGTCTGAGAGTCCTTCAGATGCCTTTTTGTTGGATTGCTGCACAGATGGTTGTCCTTCAGTAAGGTTCTCCTCTCTCCACAGAAGAATGCTGTAGCTCAGACAGAGTGACCATCGGGTTATTGATTACCGCCCTGACTAAGGCCCTTCTCTCCTGATCACTCAGCTTAGATAGCCGGCCAGCTCTGGGAAGAGTTCTAGTGGTTCCAAACATCTTCCACTTACGGATGATGGAGGCCTTGTGCCTCCAGACAATCCTGTCTTGGAGGTCTACTGGCAATTCCTTTGTCTTCATGCTTGGTTTGTGCTCTGACATGCACTGTCAACCCTGGGACCTTATGTAGACAGGTGTATGCCTTTTCAAATCATGTCCAATCAACTGAATTTACCACAGGTGAACTCCAATGAAGCTGAATCTGTCTGTCTGTCTGTCTGTCTGTCTATCTATCTATCTGTCTATCTGTATTTATCTGTCTAGCTGCCCAACCGTTTGTCCATCCATCCATCCATTTATCTATCTATCCTTCTCTTTGTGTCTGTCTGTCTGTCTGTCTGTCTATCTATCATGTTTTAGATCCACATCAGCATCATTGGCTATATACAGTACATTGGGAACATTGCTAATGAATATTCTGTTTATTTCCCCCCCCTACTGTTTCTTATCGAAGACACATTATACAAAAACATCCAGATAACAACACCACAGAAAAAAAGGCATATTAGCTATTTCAATATGTTCAATATGGTCATTGATAAATATTGTCAAAGTCCTTCAGCAGGCAACTTTTAAAAAATTTCCCTCAACATATTTACTGAATTAAAACAATGTCTGCTTTATACTCAAACTATTCTTACACAACTCACAAATTGGTTTCTTTTCCCCCTTCAATAAATATGGGTAGTGTGTGAATCTATAGACTGTTTTGAGAAATGTAAACAAAAACAATGGGCCTAATGTATTTTCTGTTCAACTCTTTTAATTTTTATAGCTTCTGAGAAAACTAAAATGATATCACATATTGGTAAATAGGGTTATGATGTTATAAATTGAGGATTGAATTGCCTCTTGTTACGGTTATGAAGTAATTTCACAACAAGCAGGAACTGTTTGAAAGGCAATGACATCACCACATTGATATATGTATGTGTGTGAGCCAATTTTACACCTCGTATGTGCAACCTGGTCATGTCTATTTTCAAAATGGTAATTATTTCTTTCATTTACGTAATGGATTCACTTCATACAATTTGTTGTTTGTACATTCGTCCATTTCCCGTTAATGCACAGATTCAAAAAGGGTTTTGTGTTGCTCTGCTAATGACTGCTCTCTCTCTCTCTCTCTCTCTCTCTCTCTCTGTCTCTCTCTCTCTCTCTGTGTAGTTGATAGAGGACTTGAGAAAGCAGCTGGAACACCTGCAGCTGTTCAAGTTGGAGACTGAAGCGAGAAGAGGCCGATCTTCCAGCAACGGCCTGCAAGAATACAACACACACATGAGAGAGAACGAACTGGAGCAGGAGATACGCAGACTCAAACAGGTCAAAACACACCTTTCAGTGCTCATCCTAGACTTAGGCCCTGTTTACACTAATATGTTTCAGTTTTAAAACGCATACATTTTGCTATCATTACGCCTTCCGTCCACACTACCCCGGAGTATTCAAGCCCTGAAAACGGAGAATGGTTGCCGAGCTTCTGACATTCCTGTTATCCTTTTCCTCAATAACAAGTACACAAATTCAGTCCTGCATCCTTTTCATCTAAGTTTAGACTTCACAGGTTTGATATGGATAACAAAGTACCAAGGACACGTCAACAGTGTTTCTTATAACCTCACTCACATCACTTTGGCTATGTTGTTTCATTTTCTTAACAATAAAATGAAAACATATGAGAAACTGCTTCATTTTAATTTTTATACTAACAGCTTAACAAACACCAAAACTGTTGAGGCATTGTGTAGTTACATATTTATATGATTATCATCTTCACTGTATGCATATTTATAACAAAATGGAGCCTATAACATAACTGCCTCCTTTCATTTTCATTGAAAATAATGAAACATACCCGGTCTCTTGTTGAATATCTTGTTTAATTGATATTGCTATCAGATTTGGTAATCAATAATGGCCATTGTAAAAGTATAACATACAATATATGAAATAAAGGCAAGCAATCAGTCAAATGTGCTGAATTAGTGTACGCAGTTACATAAATTAATATATTAACTTATTTTTGCTCTCAGGCAAAACACATTACCTGGGAGAGGTTAGATTGAAGAGACCAGAGAGTCTTTAGATAAAGACAAGATTAATTAAATGTCACCTTTAACAACTATAGTGAGATGAGATCCAGCGGTACATCCTTGATGAACTGATTGATGTGTGCTGCTCTCATCTGGGGAGGTGTGCTCAAAGCACCTGCTGACTGCTTGGTGCTCAGACGTGCGCACGTAATGTGCATTTTTAGAGGTGTAGTGTGAACGGAGAGATTTTTCAGAAACACTAGGTGAAACGCCAGTGTGGACGTAGATCATTTTCACTCTAAAACACAGTTTTAAAACTAAAGTGCATCAGTGTGAACTGGACCTTAGTCTCAGCCCCGGATGTCACAATGTCTGATGCATATGGTTGTCTTCTGAATGGTATCAAACTGAAATGAGCTCAAACTGATGAAAGGCAGGCTTAACCAAGACTTAAAGGGGTAGTTCACTCAAAAGTGAACATTTTCTCATATATTCTCAAGTGGTTCTAAACATTTATGGATTTCTATGTTTTGTTGAACAAAAAACAAGTTGTTCTGAAGAATGCTGAAAACAAAAGCAGCCATTGACATCCATAGTAGGCACAGCAAAAATATATGGAAGAGAATAGATGCTTTTCCACAGTGTTCTTCAATATATCTTCCTCAAAAAAAGAAACTCAAACAGGTTTCGAACAAATAGAGGTTGAATCAATGATGACTATGAACTATCCTTTAAATAAGAGACTTAATATGATACAAAACAACTTAGAAAAAATAGATTTTAAAACAACAACAACAACTCCGACTCGGATAGATAAGCTAACACCCAAAAGATAAACAGAAACAGATTAGCAACACAGGCTAACCCAACACTCAAACTGTTACAAAAAAAATATGGGTAAACAGTGACTCATACTGATTTACTAAGACCAAAAAGACTAAAACAAGACAAAACATTTAACCTGGTAAAAAATTCATAAAAAATTCAAACAAAGACTGAAAAGAAAATGACAACAGACCCAATGTTTAAACTCAGTCTTAATGTATCTAAACCTCAATTTAGTCAACACAGTATCGAAAAGAACAACTAAGGACTGTACCTATTTGAGTCTGTTTAATTTGTGTTTACTAGTTTAAGGATACAGCAAGTTAAATTTAGTATATAAGCGAGGACATTTGGCCCTCACCAGTATAGCTAAACCAGTACACAAACTTACAATAAAGCTCAGACTGCCTCAAGATATAAATGGTAAACGGTGACTCAAGCAGGTTAAATGACTGTAGTGTTGTGTCTGTTTGTTTGCAGGATAACCGCAGTCTGAAGGAGCAGAACGATGAGCTCAACGGTCAGATCATCAACCTGAGCATCCAGGGAGCGAAGAGCCTTTTTACAGAGTCTCTGTCCGAATCACTCGCTGCCGAGATCAACAACGTCTCCCGCGCTGAGGTCAGTATCACACACATACATGCTGATCTCTGCATGAAAGAAAGTCTAGGTATACCTAAGCATAATTGAATAATAAAGAGATCTGTATATGGACATTGGGAAAACCGTCAGCCTCTGACAGCACTGTTTACTCATTCTCATGTAAAATCAACAAGTGTGAAAGGGCCAATCAGAACACAAAACAGACTGTTGCGTGACTCACGGTGCATTGTCTGTGTTCGGTGTACATCTTGCTTGATGTCTGGGTGTGTCTGTGTGAAAGAGAGCTGCACTCAGAGTGGAGCTCATTAATATTCACAACCGATCCAAATATGGTCAATATGGACCTTCTGATTTTACTGGGTATTTTATGGAGAAATAAATGAGCACATCAAAGCATTTCTGGAGATTTTTTTTTTACTTGCCTCAGCCATATACCTACCCTATGTAGATATCATAAAACAATTTAACTTATTAAACCAATGCAGTATAAGGCAACTTTAAACATGAGCTCCTTATAATTAGGCATCTGTGGAGATTTTGAGAAACAATTGGAAATAATATTGTGGACACAGGGCATTTTTAGATGCTGCTGCTTTCATATTTATCCTAATTAGTGTGGATGTAGTCTTAAAAAAACAGTTACCTTTAAGACTACCTAATTGTAATGCTGCGTTCACACAAGACGCGGATAAAGCGTCAAGTGCCAGTGAATTACATGTTAAGTCAAAGCAAAGACGCGATTAGACATCCTGTGGCAAGATTCGCACGAATGAGGTGGCACAAGCAAATGAAGTGGTGCGAGTCGAGCGTTTTGTGTGTTTGACGCAGCTTAAGGTTGTATCGCACCGTTCAAATCAAGTTGGAAAGTTTGAACTTCAGTGGAGATTAACGGCGCATTAACTAATCAGGAGCTTGCTCATGTAGGGGCGTGATTAGGACGTATCGTCTGTGTTGGTGTCCAGAGGGGATATCCTCCAGTCGAGATCGGAGAACAGCTCATCAAACTGGGCTCGGCTTAGTTGGAAGCACCGCTAAAAGACTCCATCTTTGATGAACTTACAGGGCTGGGTGAACCTCTGAAAGGATCTAGTGCACTCAGTCATGGCGCCGGACTAATATACGCTGTTTTTCAGCCTTCCTGAAGCACATAAAGCACAGCTACTCTCTCAGTAAAATCCATGTTAGCCATTTAGCAGTGAAACTGCAGACAGAAGCCCTGCTCATGACGCAAATCCGCATCTGTTGTGAAGTAAATTTCAGACGAGAATGAAGTGAGTAAACGCAAAATGTTCACGTATTTATGTGCGAATATTCGTGCATGCCGCTTCTGGTGTAAACACAGCATAAGGCTGCTATTCCTTATTCAGTGTAAGACGCCAAATCATCTCACTTAATTTTGATGTGACTGAATAACTTATAAAGTGAGTTTGGAGTAAAAACGTTATTATTTGTAGTATTTTCACATGCCTTAGATGTAGCAGCATTACTAAAAACAGACTTGTAGTTCAACAGCTGTCAATATTAGAGAACGAGTATCTTCGATTTCATATTCGTGCAATTATATTATGTGCGATTTGTTGTGTAGCTTGTCAGCAAACTACGGCTTTTCACGGTAAACGTTGCTACATTTGAAACAAGGTGGCCGCAGGTCAGGATTCCTTGAAGCCTTGAATTATGATTCGATAGGTCATTAACACCTTCATGGTCGATTTGTGAGGTAAAAATTTAAATTTGTGCAAAATATAATGTCTGATATGAAATCCGTATGCAAGTTCCCTTTCTAAATAAACACTACAGTAGTATAGTTAACTGGTGATCTGAGAAATTCAGCCTGGACAAACTAAATTGTAGAATTGAAATAATTTTTTTTTTTATTTAATACATTTTTTAAAAATCAGTTTTTAAAGAAAATTTAAGCTGAACAAATGTGTGTGCATGTGTATATTTTTAACCATAAAAATTGTGTTTTTGACTTTTATTTTTTATTATTTTAACACTCTAAGAAAGCGCATGCTAGAGAGATTTACTATTGATTGCAGGTCCGGCTTTACTGACAAAATGTGCACGACAATCGATTAATCACGCACTTCTCTTTATAACTTTGACCCTGTTGTGTACAGCTGATGGAGGCCATCCACAAACAGGAGGAGATCAACTTCCGTCTGCAGGACTACATCGACCGCATCATCGTCGCCATCATGGAGTCCAACCCCTCCATCCTGGAAGTCAAATAATCCCATCTATGAACTAAAACAGGAGGCGAGAGGAGACCACCAATTCAATCACGATGTTGATCAGATTATTTAATGATTCGCCTTGTATGGATGTGTGTGTGTGTGTTGGTTTTGGTGGTTTACGAGGACACAAATTTGTTTAACCCTAACCCTAACCCTAACCCTAAGTTGTTGCAAACAATTTATATAAGCTGAACAAACACATTAAGTTACTAAATTGAATTAGTTTGTTTAAATTCAGCCCATATAAATTGTTTACAACCTTAAATAAAGTAAATCCAAATAATAATTTTTTTCTGCGGGTCCATGTAATTGAAAACTCTTAAAAGTCATATTTACATGGTCTTTTCACTTTTAAAATTTGCCACGGGTTTCTTGTGAGGGTTGGGTTTAGAGGTAAGGCCATATTATCATACCTGCCCACACTCCCGTTTTTCCCAGGAGTCTCCCGTATTTCAGACCCATCTCCCATCGCCCTCCTGTTTTGTTATTTGTCCTGGATAACTTAATTGGGAAAATTCCACCCTCCTCCCTCCAGTCCTCAACCCCCGGGTTGCAACTTTGGTATAGTATCCAATTGCCACGACCGCTTGGTACCTGACCTATAGTACAATTAGTTACTAACACCACAAACATCAGCACCCCCCCACGTTTCTCAACTGTCGAGCGCACACATATGCTCTGGCGCAATGTTCACAATGCCCTTGCCCTGGCTGACGCTGATGTTGACGCTCTCAAAAATGTAACTACACATCACAACGACACATATCGTAAGCTCTGTGATTGGTTTGCTTGATAGCTGTGACCAGTGTGGGCAGGACCAAGGGCCGGCCAAACCCATTGTAGCAACTGTTTACAAGTGTCAATCCCGTGAAGTAGCTCTAGATGGAAACTGTTGTGTTTTACCTTATGATTAAGGTTGTTGCTAGTCCAACGGTTCCCGCCTCAGAATGACCGAGATTTAGCTACTTTTACATTAAGGTAGCGTTTAGAAAAACAAAACACCCGCATAGAAACTCAACACAGAGGAACATAAACACCTACTGCCAGCTAGCGTTTCAGAAGTGTTATTGCTGATCAACACAAACAGCTCGCAGGTGTTTATGTTCCTCTGTGTCGAGTTTCTTCATGGGTGTTTTGGTTTTCTGAACGCTGCCTTCATGTAGGAGTAGCTAAAACTCGCTCATTTTGAGGCGGGAACCAGCGGATGTGCAACAACCCTTAATCAAGTAGTGTTTCCTCTAGGATGTTTTTCCAGCTGTGGCGGCAGGACTTTTTTAAACAGATCTACCAACTACCTGTGGCGTTATTTTAATGACTAATGTCATGAGCTCAGTATTAAGTTGAGATCGCATTTATTTAATAGCCCACGAGCATGCGAATCTCTTTGCTTGCGCGCCGATTTCCTCTGCTCGTGCACAAACCTTCTTGCACGCCCCCTTAAATATATACGCAGCTCAAGCACAGATCTTCTTGTGCGCTCTCGAATAAACGCTGCTGAAGTGTGATTTAGTGCGTTTATGTAACCAGTATGTCTCCAGCATTTGTTAGATTTGCTAGGAATATTTATGAATGCCTCTAATAGACCTACAGAGCGATATTAATGTGTCCTGAAGTAAAGTGAAACGGCTATACGTCGTGTTTGCTGGCCTCACGCACCTGTCAGTCAGCCAGTCAGTCAGTACGTAACCTTAAAGGGTTAAACAAATATCGCACGCACAGCACAGCACTGTAACTATGGTTACAAAAACGTTCACGCTGTTATAATTCGCTTGCCTTTGAATACATTTTGGTGCGATTATCACCCACTATTTAAAAAAAAAAAAAACACGACTGAATGTTTTAACGAAAAGCTATAATGTAGCCGTGGCGGGATCAATTTTGGCGTGGCGCCCCGCCATGGAAGAATGAATGTAGCGGAAACCATGATAAGGTAAACACAGCACAAAAGTTCTCATCTGGAGCTCCTCCACCGGACTCGACACTTGTAAACAGTCACTCCATCGGGTTTGCGGCTCTCAACTAGGCATGGGCCAGTATAAGGTTCTAACGGTATGATAACCTTGATAAAAAATATCACGGGTTCACAGTATTGTGATTACTGCTTTAAAATATATTCTTTAAAAAACAAGTTAAAAAACAATTTTTTTTTTTCGTTTTGAACAAAATATCTGTTTTAAATCACATAGTTCCATATTTAATACTACGATAAAAACAGCATGCGAGGAGTACCCAGATAACCTACTACTTCCAGCGAGATTCTGAAGTGCGCATTGCTACGCTATCCCTTGATGCACCGCAAGAGAATTCACGAATGGAAGTCAAGCGGGTATGTCACGTGATAATGACAAAATGACATTCGTAGTACGTCCTAGCTCATTCATGCTACTCACATTCATACTGTAAAGAACGTCCTAAAAGTTTCTAACAGTCGAGTAGTGAATTCAAATTTAAATGCAGTACCTACTGAGTAGCAGGCGATTTCGGACGCAGCCAATATGTTTTATTTTGAGAAACATTTAAAATATTTTGGAGCAGTAAACATGTCTGGCTACATCATATAAGTTAATCTTTGACTTCCGCTATCTACATTAGTTTCAAAAACACAAATTTATTTACAATTAAATACGGCATATTTGGATATCTTTTCGGCTGGAGATACTGTTTGTGCTAAAAAAGTAAAAAAAAATCTTACATATACCTTAGGAACGGTTTTACAGAAAAGTTTGGTGGTTTTAAAACCTTGACTTTTCCAATCCACGGTATAGCTTGAAAATGGTTCTCGTCCCATGCCTACGCTCATCAAACTGACCAATAACAGTGCTTGCGCTACGCATCGTTGCGATGTGTAGTTACAATTTTTTAAAGGTGCACGTCAGTGTTGGCTATGCGACCGTGCGAAGGCTGCACCAGACCATACGCATGCGCTTGACGCAGAAGTATAAACAAAGACTCTAGAATACACAAGACAAGTCACTCGTATAGTTTTGAATGGGGAAAAGTGTAACGATCATATGGTGAATGAAGCCCCGCCTTCTAATACAGGAGCCAATCAGCGATCACTATAGACTGAAGGTTCTCCAGGGGAGGGGCTTGAACCAGATGTCAATTTCGTGATCCGAACGTAAAGAAATGAAACCAAACAGACAGTTGATGTTTGATTGATGTTTCCTTATATGAAATGTGATCGTAAGCTTGGCAAACCGTTTTGGAGAATTTGATGTTTCCCCATTGAAACAGAATGCCTGAGAGGCATTTTAAAGATGGCCGCCGAGTGAAATGACTTGCCTTAAGGGGACTTTGGTATAAATCAGCCTTTATTTAATGCAGAAGTATAAAACAGCCTTTACTCAGACAAACTATTTCCCATCACCCTCCTCCCCCTATCTCCCTCCCATTCTCCCAGAATTTCAGAGACAAATGTTGGCAGGTACGCCTATTATAAGTGGCTTTTACAGTATGAAACGCATTACGCCTATGGAGAGTCCTTATAAATCACCAAAACTAGTGTGTGTGTGTGTGGGATCTACCTGTCTTTTGGTTCCTGTGACTTCCCTGTGTTTTGGGATTGAGGTGCCCATTCCTTCTATGCGTGTTGTGTGTGTGTGTGTGTTCACAATTCATCCAATGAATTTTGAGTGTAAACGAGTTACCAGTGTATTTCTGGGTAACGCAGTCACACCGTTAGCCCATGTGAGGGACATTTGCTGACCTGAGGGTTGAGCGTGTGCATATATTTTAGCTCGTAAATGAGTTTGGTTAGTCACTTTCGCTTGTTTTTCATATTTATTACGATGACGCAGAACGCAAAGGGTCATTACAGGCCGACGCCCATCAGAATTGTGGGTCAAGGCAAATGATCCTGCGTGATCACTCGCTGAGGATTTTCGTCTGTCGCCTCCTGGCCTGGATTTATGTGCAAATCTCACTGGAAATGTTCATTGCACTCTGATTTAATTACTCTGAGAAACTATTGTTTGCTATTTAAATAAAATGAAAATCATAGACACTCAAGCACTGAAGGGAAGCAGACGCAAAACCTTTAAACGTGCTTTTTTCTGCGCTTCATCTCTCTCTGATGTAAATATCGCTTCATTTGTTTATTCGTTCAGAATTTTAATGAACAAAGTGTTTAATTTCGTCTTCCACTCGACTGACCTCTTCTTTTCCGTGGACTTTCCTCTCATCTCAGACGATGTTTGATTTTCTCTTCGACTTTTTCATTTTGAAACGAGTTTGAAACTCAATCCTTCCTCTTTTTTTGGATTATGGCTCTCTTCACAATCTCCTTTCCTATTTGTTTTTTTATCGCGTCCGATCAGTTCCTGATGATCATTTGAGGACATTTCTGCAGTCTTCACAGCGATGGCCCTGCTGTCGCATGTATACGGCTGTTTTAGAGCTACTGTAATTACACTGATGGACATTAAAATGCAGGAAAAGCGTGGCTTCTGTGAACTTCCGCCGACTGTCTTGTCCCTTTATTTCCTTATGGAGCCGATAAGGGAATCTGACCTGACTTGATCTGATGCTAAACAGCTAGATGATTAAAACATTTCCAGTGTCCAAAGAACATTTCACCGCTTAGGAGGAGTTCTGCTTGCCACTTAGACTTTAAAAGGCTAATAATAGTTATAAATACATGTTAATAAAAGAAAACGGACTCCTTTATGAAGGATACAATTGTATAAAGGATGTTTAATTGTTAAGGTTACTGTATAAATGAAAAGATATCAGTATTGTCTTCTGTTGAATGTTTTGCTTTTCTTTTTCGAAGATGCCCCCTCCTAAGATGTATCTTTTACTGTTCGGGGTCTTATAGATTTTCAGATAATTGTATGAAGGTTAAAAGAAAAGTGAAAATAAAATTAGTCACCAATAAATTAAGTAAAATACCTACGTTGTTGAGATTTTTTTTGTGTTTGCGAGTGGTTGATATGATGAGCAAACAACAAAATCGCTCAAAAAAGCAATAGTTCAATTAATCTGATCATGTTTACCTTTAATCATTAGATAGTATTGTTTTAACTGTTTGCTAACACTTATCTAGCATGATTTTGCACAATATCATAGATATATACAGTAGCTATTGTATATGAGCCCCTTAGCATGTGTCAATACCGCCGCCATATTTGTACAGTGCTCCCAGAACAAATGTTATTCAACCGCACAGATCAAGACTGAAGCTAATCTGAAGATGCTGGACTTTAGTGCTGTGTACGGGCGTAGTAACGAGCGAACAAAGAAGATAAAGGCAGAACATTTCATAGGTAAGATTTCGTTTTTTGTAATTTTAAAGTTCGCACATTCATTAAAAAAAAACATTTAAAGGCTTAACTAGGTTAACTAGGCAGGTTAGGGTAATTAGGCAAGTTTTTGTATAATGATGGTTTGTTCTGTAGACTATTGAAAACAAAATATAGCTTAAAGGGGCTAATAGTATTAACCTTAAAATAGTTTTTAAAAAATCAAAAGCTGCTTTTATTCAAGCCGAAATAAAACAAATAAGAGTTTCTCCAGAAGAAAAAAATATTATCAGACATACTGTGAAAATTTCCTTGCTCTGTTAAATATAATTTGGGAAATATTTTGAAAAAAAAATCAAAGAGGGTCTAATAATTCATATATATATATATATATATATATATATATATATATATATATATATATATATATATATATATATATATATATATATATATATATATATATACATACATATATACATATGCATATATGCCTCCCGTTGGCAGTCCATCCTAATCCCACATTGATTTCAAAGGAGCCCTACCCTGTACTAAAATGGCGGCTCTATTGATGCATAACAATAGCATAGTAGGCGACATCTTGATCTATAGCACGATGCTAGCATATTTTATCAGGTTGCAATAATTGCATAAATACTAACCTTAATTTTGTAAAAATAATCTAAGCATGTGGCTGATTAATTGCACTTTGTACAGCAGGCCATCATTTATTCATAGATATATAATTGTGTATATATTTATCATGTCATTTGTTTAGAAAATGTTAGCATAGTTTAACATTGCGATTTTCATAAAGGGAAATATAACAAATGTACAAAAAGTTGAAATAAGTGCTGATCAGTATTTACAGTGGTCAAGAAATTTTTATTGATTTTAAAACATACTTATTAAAAATAAAGAAAAAATTATTCATTGCTCCGTGTATAATGGGAAAAGCAACTATTTTAAAGTTTAGTCAGAAGAAATTTG